AGACTCTTACACATAATATACATTAATTTTAATGAGCCAGCATTTGTTGTTCCTGTGATTAGCTAATGTGTACATGATATTCCGGCGACTATAAAAATAAGCCGGTCCGGCGCTCAGTGCGTCGGCGTCGACACTCAAAACGATTCTATGAGATCGAGATGAGACGAGACGTCGTGTGACGGATCGTATTCAACGACGATCCGCTCAAAATACAATACATCGGCGGTCAAATGCAGCATAAGTGTAGCGTCACTGAGACCACATCAGCATTTTTAAACGTGGCGTATTTATATCTTTAGATTTGGCGGTACTTCTTGCCGGTAAGATGACAGAGTTTGATACATACAGTACGGTAGTTTTTGACAGTTTAAACGCCAATAATAAAATCTAAATGATGTTAATGAAAGACGAGAACTATTAACGGAATGCACCTAAATTAAATAATTAACTTTCATTTTTTTTTTATCATTTATTTTGTTTAAGAAATAGAAAAAGGTAATAACATAAATAACAAATAAAAATTATTAAAAGTTTAAGGTGAACGATTCCATCAACCCGACAAGGTTAGTGAAATACAAAATATCTAAAAGTCAGAAAGAAGACATTGTATTAATTTATCATATAGAATCATCAGCAATTCAGGGAGATCACATTAACATAAATATAGAAGTTCTATAATACTTAAGTAGTAGTAATAATAATAATAATAATAATAATAATAATAATAATAATAATAATAATAATAATAATAATATGATATAGCGCCTTAGATAAAGGTTTATTGTAGCGAAAAGGGATTATTTAGGAAATAAGTGTGCTTTTAAAAGTTTTTTTTTAAAGATCTGCAAGTAACGTTAATTCAGAAGTAGTTAGTATGGAAACCGTTTGGCAATACTTGACATATAGCTTGCTCACTTTAAGCTGACATTTTTTTTTCATCCGGCGTAGTTTACAATTACGTAATCCAAAGGTGCCAACACGAAAAAAAAATTTGACTGTGGAAGTGGAACACTTGAATCTGCGCTTTTTATATTAGTAGTTCACACGCATGGCATTTTGTTGTTTATCTCGGCACATCATCAATTTGGGAAAAACAAATAACATTTTTTTTTTCAAGAGAAGGTCAGACTGTCAATTATTTTGGCTGTTTTTATACTCTAAAATGTAATGTATTCTTGATGGATTTTTAAAAAGGTGAAAGGTAATATCTACATAATCACTTGGCAGTCTCTAAAAACTGAAGAAATAAAACAATTAATGTGAAGATACTTTATAGTGTATTAAACAATCGTTCTGTTTACATTATGGCGTCGGAGAGAAACACAACACTGGGATTAATTTCCACTAACGTTAATGTTTCGAAACCTCTCGAGAAGCGATGACAAACACATGAGAATTTAATCACGTGAAATACTTGAATTATATTCTACAAATACGTAACTTTAAAAGTTAATATCCACAATGACATTTTGTGCCTGTTAAAATGCATGTTTAGTGAACTGACAAATATCATATTGTCATGTGGTTACATACGATTTTATTATTGTTATATAATAATGTTCTTTAAATTAATCTAAATGTACATGAAATATATATGTTGTTGGAGAACTGTTTACAAACTTTTAGATAGGAGTTGAAAGAAGAGTATATAATAATCATTTTAAATTATTTTGGTCATGATTGTCACTTTTGGAATCTTAAAGTAATATAAAATGACATTCATCAATGTCTAAGTAATTGGCTTTTGGCCAAATATTAATTGATTTAAAAGATAAAACCTTTACAATATTTAAAGAGTACGAACGATAATAAGTACCGGTACATTATTTATTTTTTTGATACTACAATTCCAAAATGAAGAGACGTATTTATACAAAATATCTATTATTTTAACCACTAAAGAAAAGGATCATAATGGAAACATTTGAAACGTCTTGCACGAACTTTACATAAAAACATTAAAATAATGATAGATTTGACACAGCGTTTTAGTTGCTCAAGTCACTAATGTGTTTGTTTTATAGTTTCATCACTATAAATTAATGTAGGTTTACAAAATGTGTTAGCAATTAGACCATTGGCTAGATAAAGATTAGCATTATAAATTCAAATCTCACGTCTTTACACATAATTATGTTTATTGACATTGCATAACTGCCTACCATTACATTTGTATATTGAACTGAATCGTACAACAACTATAATATGCTTCTATACAAAATTGTCTAAGCCTATAGAATAGAACAATATATGCAACACACGTACTTAAAGCATATAGATAATTGTTATTTTTAGCATTTATAATCGTAATATATAAATGGTAAAGGCAGTTAAATAAATATATATTTGTAACTATCAAAATTATAGGCTTACACCAACTATTTTTCTAGAGTATATGTACGCCCCGAATAATATATATATTGTATAATTTCAACAAAATGGCGATGAATATGTAAAATTTTATAATACAATTTAGTAATAAACAGAAAATGCTTAAAAATTGTGCCTGCCAATCAAAATAATGTTAAACAATGTATATATTTAGGGATGAATTTAGTGTATATTTATATATTTTTTCCGAAAAAGGATTAAGTTTTTAGCAGTCAAGAAGAATGTTGACAGTTACTTGGTTAGACAGATTCACAAACCAAGAAATATTAAGAATAGTAGGCGAAGATAAGAAAGATATGGAAAAGGAAATTTAAATTAGCAAGACACATAGAGGCTCAAGTGGTAAGATGTGCACAAACATCAATGAAGGATATATTGAGGGGAAAATAAGTATTGTATAGAGAAGCAGAGAGGAAAACGTGGTTCGGCAACATAAAAGATTGGATGGCTGTAAATAGCGAATGGAGGACAAAGATGGATACAATATGGTCGTCGTTGTACAGCTGCTGAATAGGACACTTGTAAGTAGTAGCCAATGCTGCAATATTTCTATCATTCTATCATCTGTGCATAAGGATGTGGCATTTGCATAAGCCACGCGTCACTAAATAAAAAAAGGAAAATAATTTTTAAAACACGGCTGCTGGCATTCTCCTATAACATAGTATGTATACAGGACAGGCTGCTGACAGTGTATTGTATTGCTATAAATGCCAGTAACTCGTTTCTGCATCAATTGTCTTCTGATTAATAGCATGTAATATCTGCTGCGGGAAAGATGGATATAACAGAAGCCAATTTGATGCTATATAAATGTTTGAATTTGTAAAACCAGGCGTAGTAGATCTGCCGATTCCGACACTTCATAACCTAAGTGGCGCATCGTACCGCCATTTCAACAAACCAAATTATTTTTCACAGACAGGAAACATCGTAAGTAAAATTCCGTTTTATATTCTACCTTTAACTGTTGGAGTTTAAGAAAAGGATGAAGTTCAAAACTTGGATTTTATTTTATTTTTATTTACAGTACATTAAAATACCATAGAATATCTTGTCTTTTTTACGAAGAAAACTTAATACTTATCAAATGATTTTCCAACTGTTGAAAGTAAACCTATGTTTAATTTTATTTTAATTATTATTATTTTTTACCCATCGGAGCAATTCGATTGGCAATTAACATTAACAATTAATTAAACTTATTCTTTATTGCAATAGCCAATAAAAAGCATAAAGAGGCAACAAATATGTCAATTAAATTTTATTTCAGCGAGACTACAACTTTCAAATAATCAAATAGAAAAAGAATAGTTTACAAGTTGATATTTAACAAAAAGAAACATATTTTAAGATTTTTTAAACGTGTTATTGCACTGAAAAAAATATATCTCCGAATTTGAAAATCAAACCCATGGCCTCCTGGTATAATCCATTATACTAAGCCATTTGTTGTACTGTGATAGTTGACAGGTTTAAATTTTATCTCCAGTAGCAGCGGTTACGTTCAGTAAAATATTGTTTTTTTCACAATCCGGCGTGTTATCGCAAAGAATATTCAGTACGTCTCCAGACACCTAAAAGTTAAAAGGGAAAATCCTAGATGATTCTGCCGTGGTGGCGCGAAGTTTTAATCAAGGACAAGAAAATGGTTTGGAAGGGTGTTCATTTCCTATATTTGAGGTCTGAGTGCGAGCTCCCTTGAAGTTCCGTAGTTTTAGTAATTTTTGAGCTTTAATTGTAATTCTAATTAATATACATTATGACAATTATAATATTTATAATATTTTTTTTTGAATTTGTATACTTTGTGATATTATATTTTTGATGTTTATTTTATTTTCGCCTGTAAGTGTGTACAAACAAAGCGTTCCTGTTGGACGATTGTTTTATAAATTTTATTTTCAATAGAAACGAAACTTTGGTAGGCGATCGCCCCTTTCACAACTCCCTGGCCATCGCTAACAAGTACTTGCAATATTTTTCAAGTTGTTTCATATTGAGCATTTTTGTTGAAAAATCAAATAATTTGTCATATTAAGCTTTACTATGGCTACTAAGAAATGTATTGTTATACTGTAGTCATATTAAAGTTTACATTGTACATTTATTAAATTTTTATTTTGACTACATCATAGTTTTGTAAATTATGTTCAGATAACAAATATAATATGTTAGTAGTCACGTTTAAATTTAAATCGTACTTTCGTTCCTAGACGCTCGCTAGAACATTGATATTAAAGGCCGTCATAAATACAATTTTAATACTTAGTGCGCAAATACTATTAGGCCTACAAAAAAGAAATGTAACTAAAGTAGACATCATTATTTCAGAACATAACAAAAAAAATAAACTTATCATTAAAATGGAAATTATAATTATATTGAAATTTGTAGTCGTTAACCAAACAAATGTTACTTTCATGTGGTTGACTTATTTACGTTACAAAACATAAATTTGACCCCCACGAAAGAGAGAAAAAAAAAACAGGAATTTCTATTCTGACTCATTGATGTTTGTAGGTTTAAAACAAAAGGGATCAGGTATTGGCCATTGTTTATTGCTGCTCATTATTTCTGATAGGTCACCAAAATGAAGGAATTAGTAGTAGTGACCGTTGTTCTATTTACCACAGTAATATATGGAGAAGTAGCGCGTTTTCCTCGTCTTGGTATGTATATATTTTTATTTTATTAAATTTGATATTTATAATTAGACGATCACTTGTGTGATCTATTTGTTGCTAATTGTAAACTTTATATTGAAGAATCTTGCAAGACGGCCTTAAATGGCTAAACTATATAGCCTAGAAAATTAGTCCCAGATTTTTTCATTTGATTTTTTTTTTCTACTTTTTAAATAAAAACAAATAATTTGAAGCTATAATGGTACTCTCAAGTCTCCAATAGACCACCGATAAATAAACTGTAGTATTCACTAATAAATAACCAATGTCTACGCCAATAGGTTGCTGTGTATTGCCTAATTAATATAAAATGACAATTAGTATTTAAATTGTCTGCCTTATTAAATTACATAAAAAAAAGTCAAGCTATCAATTGGACGTTAGAATGAGAGCTAATGTTTTTCGCAAGACGAGAGCGTAAGTGGGCGTGGGCGGGCGTCAATCAAAATAATCTGTGGAAACTGACAATTTAGGGGTTTTAAATATCTATTTAATCGATTCTAAAGTCTACTAATAATGTCAATAATACATGTATGTTTATTTCTCCCCGACGATGTGTCTTTTTCTCAACAGGAAGAGGGGGAACCCACTGGCGCCACATCTGCGTGAAACACTACGCATTTAACAATGGTGCATCTAACTTGATCATCTTCATCAACTTCTTGTTACCTCAGTTATTTATCACAGTGTCAATGATGAATATGGCAATATTAGAGTTATAGTTTAGAAATGGAAAAGTTGAAAATCTGCTAATTTTTCTTTTTCAAAAATACAGCCGAATATTTTCTTTACAGGACCATGTAAAGACATTACGGGCAAGGAATATCCGTTGAATGTGGAATTCGACAACGTTCATGATACATATTGCGAGAGTTGTACTTGTTTTGAATTCAATAATGTCTGCGTATCAAACACGTGAGTTTTTATTAAAAGAAATTGTTTAAAACTCATTTGATAGCCAAATTACCATTGTTATTATTAGATATTAATTATTATCATTATCATTATCACATATTATTATTATTATTTTATTATCACTATTATTATTATTATTATTATTATTATTATTATTATTATTATTATTATTATTATTATTATTATTGTTGTTGTTGTTGTTGCTGCTGCTGCTGTTGTTATTGTATTCTATTTCACTATCATCGTCGCTTTCGTCGTATCATTCCCCTTATCTTTATAAATATCATTATAAATATCATTTTGTACAGAATAATCATTTCCCTCTTAATCATTTGACTGTTGAATTCAAGCACCCAATAGGACCACCGTAAGGCAGCAGTGTCTTGCATATCTGTTTTCGTAATCATATTACACTCGGATTTTTTTTTTATTACAGAAAAATTCCTTTGAATATACACGAAAGTTGTGAAGCAATATTTCGAAAAGAGACGTGCGACTACCGTGTGGTCACTCGGGATGACCCAGACACGGACTGTCCTTTCGAATACCAGTTTGCCGGCGTCGTAAATTAGTAAAATAATGTATTTCTATTAGATATCTATATGACGTAATTATATCATATATTTATATAAGTATACTATACACGTATTTGTATATAAAAATCGCTGCTTATATTGTACAATTGAGACTGAGATGACAGTTTCAATTGAATTTTATGCTCGGATGGAGGGAAATGTAACGATAATTTAGTGCATAATGAGGTGAACATTTGGAAAGGTTCATGAGGAAGATTAATTAAATTCTAAACAATTTCAATTAATTGAGCTTCATATATGCATTAGAATGTAAGAATCAAAAATATTTTATTTTAAAAATATATTATTTCGATTCAAGTATTTAAATCGAATGCAGCCTTAGATAACGTATAGCACTCTTATAAAAGAGGACTCAAAAGCAGGGAATTTTACTTATATTAATGTTTATTTTATTTTTAATTTTAAAGAGTTCATTAATATATTCACATTCATCTATACTAAAAAATAGTCAGCAATCTACGTCCTATTGTTTATCTTCCAACAATATACATTTAATAAAACACTGTTGATAATGTATCTTTCTCAATGTGTCTGATTCGACAACGTAATGTACCTACTGCCAAAGTTGTAATTGTTTTGAACGCAAAAATCGAATACGCAAGTTTTCATTAAAATCAATTGTTCACATTAAGCAAAAAAAAAAAAAAAAAAAAAAAATCATAAATTGTTTGTTTGTCCTT